TTTCTATCTATCAGCACACATCTGTTGGGTGAAGAGCCATTCTTAGTTACTTGTAGGCATGTGTGTATAATGGCAAAGGCTGTATTTTGAACCTGGGTTTAGAACTAGAGTTGAATGCTGGTTCTACCTATAGCTCCGTGGCACGCAGAAGAAATAGGAACACCTGTGTACTGTTGGTGGGACTGTTAAATGGTGCATCCAGTATGAAAAACAGTATGTCAGTTCTCCAAGCAATTAAACATAGAATTACCACATGATCCAGCAATTCCATTTCTGGATACGTAGTCAGCTTCAGTATTCTCATTTGTGGAATAGGGATAACAACATTAATTTTTTAGGGGTTTTGCAGGGTTAAATGAGATTGTAAATACGAAAGCACCTAGCGTGTCCCTGTCAGACACCAGAAGGTTCAGCAAATGTTGGTTTCTGTCTTCTCTTTGCCCCCATAAGTGATCAGTTTTCCCATGAGAGGGAATAGTGATGGTGTCATACAATTTTCCTAGGTTAGGGGTGGAAGAGGACAGAGGAGGGTGGTTCAGTAATTTACATAAGGGTCTCCTGTGGTAAGCTAGATTGTAAGATCCTAGATGAGACTGTGTCTACTTTGTCTTTTAGCTGTATATCTAACATGTTGCTTAATAAGTGCTTAAATAATAATGGGTGGATCTTGTCAATGTGGTAAAATAAGCATCATAATGACATTCGCCTATCTTTGATGACAATCTGAGGGAGAAAAATAGGTCATCTGGACCTTTGAGAATAGAATATGGCTTTCAATACTGGTGAAGATATCTTACGCTTGCAGAAATATGGAGAGAAATTAAAGCCAGAAAAACAAGGGGAACTCAAGGATTATGATTATTTTTTCCTTGTTGCTGCAATGTTCTTGTTACATTAAGTTTTTCTTTTTTTTGGCCCAATTTGAAGGAGCAGATGCTTTTCCCAGAACTTCTGAGTAGCTTGCTCCTCAGCGTGCCCTTCCTCCCTGCAGCACAGAGCATTTCGAGGACACCTTTCAGTCAGTAAAAGCATTTCCTCTCACCTTTGCTCTCAAGCTCTAGAGGAGGAAGATGGAAGAGATGAAAGAAGAAAATGAATGTTATAACATTTTTGACACTGGCTATCATTTTCTTTCTTCTTACTTTCAAGAGATATGCATCCTCTGTTTCACATAGACACAAGGAAGGCACACCTAGGGACTGAGAAATTCACACACTGGGGGAAAATCTCCAGGCTCCATCCTGAATTCTAGTGATAGCCCAAACAAAACAAAGCAAAATCAGAAAGGAGAACTGTTTGCTAAAGACAGCGCAATAGCTGGATATTCAGCCGACTGCTGTGTAAATACATAATTAAAGACCAAATTGGTATTATTAGTGTGTGACAGCTTTCTCTGCCAAGCTGCTGTCGTCAGTTGCTTTGAATTCTTTCCTTCATCTTTGCAAGTCTCAGTTCAGTGGCACAATCAGTCCCAGGGGCCATCTCACAATAGGTCACTGCAGATGTGAGGAGAACAAGTTCTCTCTGCCTGTTAACAGACCACACTTCTGGAACAGTTTTCAGGTTCCTAACTTGTAAATTTGCAAAAATAACACCAGAAAAGATGCCAGTCATTATTTTTGCAAAAATGAAGCCCTCTGGAGTGGAATAACTCTGTCCTTGGGGTCCCAAGGACTAACTGATGTGTGTCACATGGTAGGTGGGAGAAGATTTTCAAACAGTGGGATAATCAGTATTGAGAGAAAAGTTGCATTGATTTAAGGAACATGTTAATAACTCCTTTCTTTAATGGACCACTATGCTCCAGGCACTTAAAATAATGATAATGACACCTTAATGTCAAATTTCAAAGTGCTTCCCCATACATCATCTTAGCATAGCCTGTGGGTTTCATATTTTCACATTTAATATTTAACTTTGGTGCCTATAGTTTCTATAAGATTACTATCTAGAAGTCAGTTGACATTCTTTCTGGATTCTGAAGGTATTTGTTAATGTTTCCTCAACTAACCAGGAGAAGACCAAATAAAAAAAGGAGGATTTCATCTTATGTTTGATTGAAATGTCAGCAGATAAACTGGCTTTATTTATGGCCTTGAATGTCTTGCCCCTGAGGCAGACTGCCTGGGAGTAGATCCTAGTAAGGCAAGTCCTTTCGCTTCTCTGAGTCCCAATTTCCTCATCTACAAAGTGGAAACTCGGTTTTTCAGAAAATTTGGATGATTTCCCATTGCAAGTATCCAATGCTAGGGATATAGACATAAAGTAGTGAGCTTCTCTCTCTCTCTCTGTCTCTCTGTCTCTCTCTCTCTCTCTCTTTCTCAGGGTCTTGCTCTGTTGCCCAGGCTGGAGTGCAGTGGCAGGATCACAGCTCACTGCACGCTCAATCTTCTGGCCTCAAGCGATCCTCCTGCTTCAGCCTCCTGAGTAGCTGGAACTACAGGCACGTGCCACCGGCTCCAGCTAATTTTTGCATTTTTTGTAGAGATAGGTAAGGTCATGTTGTCCAGGCTGGTCCAAACTTCTGAGCTCAAGTGATCCTCCCACCTCAGCCTCCCAAAGTGCTGGGATTACAGGGCTGAGACACTGCGCCCGGCCCTGCATCACCCCATTTCACAGCAGCCAGGTGACCCCTGGAGACTGTAACCTTCTTGCTAGGATGTGCTTGGTGCCTGGACAGGACTGGTGACAGAGCCTGCTGCATGGGCCACACAGAGGTGCCGGGGACATGCAGGACACTGACCCTCTGCATATGACCTGACCCCCTGCATGCCCTGTCCAGGTTCATGCTGGGAGCAGAAGGCCACCATGGGGATCTGTCTTCCCTGGCAGTGGGACTGACACAGTCCAATTAGACAAGTGGGCCTTAGGGTGCAGCAGCCTCCAGAGCCCATCCTTGGAGGTTAGGCCGTGGGGGGCTGAGGGGTGTGGTCCCCAGCTGAGGCTTTTTTGGTCTTTTCTTAGCAAACACATATTAAGAGATGTTTTATTATTCAGAATATCAAGACAGCAACAAAGAGTAGTCTTAAACCCCAAGTGGGGCCCTGCAAAGCCAGGCCCTGCACCCCTGTTCTGGCTCCCTCCCTAATCCTCGGGGCCAGCCTGGAGTGGGTGTGACCAGAGGGCTGAGTGTGGGACAGCAGTGGGGATGGGGATCTGAGTCTGGGAGATCCGGGCCAGTGATGTAGGGTCTTGCGGGCGAGCATGAGGACTCTGGGGTTCACTCTGTGTGAGGTGGGAAGGTATTAAGGGCTCTTGAGAAGAGGAGTGACAGAATCTGGCTTGGGTCTCACAAAGATCCCCAGGCTGTTGTGTAGTCCCTCGACTGCAGGGACAAGGGCTAGTGCAAGGAGGCCAATGAGGTCATTGGAATAATCCAGGAGGCTCGAAATAGGAGAAAACAACAGAAATGTGTACATTTCACATTTGTGTTTGGCACTTGCATTTGTTTACTTGAATTTGGATTGAATGCGGGGTGTGAACAAGAAGACTCAAGAATGATGCCAAAGTTCTTGCCTGAACAACTTAGAAGAATGAAGTTCACAGTTTCTGAAGTGGGGTCTTCTTGGGAAGACAATAAAGATAATAATGGGACTTACTTCACTGGATTGTTTTGAGGGTAAAAAAGTTAATAAAGCAAAAGGTTAGGACAGACACATATAATAAATATTCAATAATTATTGGTTATTATTTTCCCAACTTTATAAACATCAAAAAAAAATCAATAATCTGCCTATTATGATGGCCCATTTAAAAACATATTAGAAACACACACAAATAAATCCCCCCACAAATTTTGTAAAGTCCTTATCAGAGCCTTTTTCATTATTGTGTTTTGATCAGCACATACACATTTATAATCAATCTCTTATTTGACTTTCAGTGTTGAGTTTAAGTGCTTAGCATAATAGGGAAATGGCAGTTTGTTAAATGGACATCTGGGAAATACGGCTCAGGATTTTGTTTTTACAGCTCAAAAATAGTTTCCATAGATCAGTGAAGAGAAGAGACATTTTCATGGAGGAAAGTGTATTGCTGCATGAGTCTCCTCTGAATGCACACAGACGGATGTATTTATCGGACACTGAGGTGCAGGATTAGGGAGCTCCTGGGCAGGATCTTATAGGCTTCATTTTCTGGTGGAGATCACTACTGAAGGGACAGATGGGTAGACTGGCATGGATACTTGACTCAGTTGTTTTCCCCTAGAACTACTGAGATCTATGGAATAAATTCTAATCTGTTAAATGGTACTTTCTAATTATGGGAATATAATTTATGAAAATATGGCAAACATTTGAGAAATGTTGAACTAGGAAAGTGAATTTCTCACCTCAACCAGAATTAGATATGCAGTGTTTTGTTTGAGGTGCATTTGTAGGATATATAACATACAAAGATTCAAATATGAAATCACATTCAAAAGCCTACATAGTTTTTTGCAGGGGAGTTGGGAGGGAATCTAGGTTTTCATTGTAGTTTCTTAAAGAGGAAATTGGTCCAAAGTTGCCTGTAATTGCAGGTTGCTTTTATAAGAATACTCATTACTTATGTGAGAAGCACTCTGCAATCTTAAAAATGTATTATCAATGCCCTAATTTTTAGATGAGTAAACTGAAGCTCTGAGAGGTTGGCTGTCTTACAATCTCTCCTTTTGTAAGGGACAGTCAGAATTTAAGCCCAGGTCTCTGGTTGGCTCAAATGGTAACTTTTTTGTTTTAAAGAAACACTATATGAGCTTTTTTTAGACTGCTGTTTAAAGAGATATTTGCACTATCAGACCCTGGTCCAGGAATTGGCAGGCAGGGTGAATAAGAGACAATGATTCTGTTGAATATAGAAAGGTTTCCAGAGTCCTAATCTTTATCCATTAAGCATTAGAGCTTAGAAGAGTTCTTCTAACCTGTACAGCTCCCTCCACTCAGTATGCGAGTACTTATTGCCCTCATTACTATTACTTAACATATATCAAATGCCTACGGTGTCCCACTTCCTTACAGACCACATCGTCGAAGCCCTCTCAGCAACAGCCAGCAGGTGAGGTTTGACTGAGCGACTGAATTAATTTCTAAGCAAACATTGCTGAGTTCATATTCTCAAGTTAATTTGACCTTGATGTTATGCTTGAGGCAATTTTTCTAAAATATTTCTCATATGGTGCTTTTGAGGTGTGTGAATATATACATTTGGTAAAGAACTTCTTTTACTGTGAACGTGATGGCAGCTGCAGGCCATCTGGAGTGACCACCAGCTGCAGCAAAGAGGCAGTAGCAGTGGCAGCAGAAGCAGCTGCGGGAGCAGTAGTGGCAGTGGTGGGTCTCCTGTGCTTTGCATCCCTAAGGCAGCCGACAGCGCTGCCTCCAACCCAACCTCTCGTGGCTGGGTGGGACCCACTCCCTTGCCCAGAGCCTTTGCTGCTCCAGACCCTGGCCCTGCATCACCACTATCACCCACTGCCACTGTGGGGAGGGCCTGGTGGGGGAAGCAGGCAATCCTCAAACCCACCCCTGGGAGGCCCCCAGGAGACCACCATCCTGGAAGCCACCGTGATAGGGCTGGGCTGAGCTGCATGCCATTGGGAGAGCAATGTGGTAGGGCGTAGAGGAATGGGCAGAGAGGCCCAGCGAGGACCTGGAGCACCTGCCACAGGCTGCGAGGAAGCATGGCTGGGGGTTCATGCTCCATGGAGCCAGCAGGATCTGGGACAAGCGGAAGCCCTGCTCCTTCTGAGTGGGTGGGGCAGGAGCTCCTTGGGTGCAGCTGTAGCCACTCTGCTGCAGCTCCAGATCCAGGCATCTCTGTGCTCTTGGGGGTCCAGGAAGGCCCTCCATACCTGCAGCAGGCTCAGAAGTACCTGCTCCCACTGCCTGCCTTCTCCCTGTGGTCAGTGCCCTCTCCAATCTCAGAGCAAAGTTGGGGCCAAGTCTGGGCACTGTCACAGCCTGGCTGGGTGTGCACATGCTCAAGGCAGCACTGACATGCCATGCCAGCTCCCTGCTACCTCAGCCCTCTCTGGACTTTGGGCACTGACAACTATGGGAGGGAGGTTGAGGAGGTATTGAGGACAGCCTGGTGCTGGCCTGCCGGCACCCCTCAGCATGAACAGTCTGGGAGGCATGAACTGTGGCAGGAGACAGACAGGCTCCTGGGTGGAAGGGGGAGCGTGCTTGGCGATGCCCCGCCTTCTAGTTGGGGAGGTCATGAAGCCTGGGGGCAGGGCAGCCAGTCCTGCAGACCAGAGGGGGAACTTGTGGTGCTTTTCCCTGGGCCTGTCGATGCCCACCCATGGCTGTGAGTGGGTCAATCAGCATGCACTTCCTCCCCTCTGAGGTTCATAAAAACCCCAGACTCAGCCAGACTCAAAGAGAGGATGGAGAGAGGACAGACAACCAGCTACAGAGAGGAGCTACCCTCTCTGCTGAGAGCTGAACATTCGTCGGACACCCTGGCTACAGAGAGGAGCTACCCACTGTGGGTCTCCTCTGAGCTGTTCTATCACTTAATAAAACTCCTCTTCGTCTTGCTCTCTCTCCACTTCTCTGCATACTTCATTCTTCCTGGATGCAGGACAAGAACTTGGGACCCACTGAATGGCAGAAATAAAAGAGCTGTAACACAAACAGGGATGAAACATGCCTCTTGCTTGCCATGTTGTGGGTGAAGAAAAGGAGAGAAGAGCTGCGGCTCTTCAGGGAGCTCAGACCTGGGAACTCCCCAAGCCAGGGCTGTGACTTCCTCTTTGGAGCCCTGTGGTTCCTGGCATCTCCAAGCTTGTGGGCACCACTCTGTTCCCTGGTGCCAGCCGTGGAAGCTGCTTGTGGTGTGCCTGGTCTAGCTGTGCCCTCACAGGGAGCTGGTGCCTGTGTTGGTACCTGGAGCTGCCCACCCCACAGCAGCAGCTGGTGTGCCTGGACCCCATGCTCCACTCACACACCCCTCGCTGCTCTGCACCTGGCTTGTCCTTGGAAGGCATGGGATCTAGGCCAGTAGCACGAGCCAAACACAGCCTGCCAGGCCAAGTGAGCAGAATGAGCCCAGTGGGACAGAGCAAAACTCAGACAAAGGCACCACTGGCCACAGAGGTTTCTGGCTGGTGAAGTGACACCCCAAAAATCCTGTAACAAATGGATAGATACAAAGGTTACTAACTTACATTGCGTTTGGGGACCACAAGCAATTAATACCATAGTGAGCAGGAAATCAATACAATCATTGTTTTATCCATTCCTGAAATGGAAAAAGGAGAACTGTGTGGATGGGTAGCACTATTGGGTAAAGGGCACAGTCATCTTTATGTCTGTTCCTGTATGGTTAGCCCAGATATAGGTTGACTTTTCATTCCACTGCTTATTAACTAAAAATAATAGAAACCACAGTGATTTTTTGAGTTTCCTATGTGTCAGCCTTCTCAAAAATAGAGTTATTAAAGCTATAGCTTTAATGTAGCTATAGCTACAGACCCATACTTGCTCTTTTATACTCTCCCTTAAGCCACTGTGGCTGAAAACCTGCAAATTGCATTTGCCAGATTTTGTGCTCAGTTGGGATTCCTTGCTGGCAATGGGAGGCACTCATAACAAATTAAATGTGGGAAGAAAATAGAAACTACCCTGCTTATGGCAGAGGCAGGTGACTACAGACTATTGCAATAGTGCCAGCAGTTCTAGTACCTCTGGAGGTGAGCATGGATGCCTGCAGAGGAAATAGCTAGCAAAACCCAGGCCTTCTGGAGCTCACATGCTGTATCAGGGCAGAGAAATGAGGAATTAGATGGGCATTACTCCTGGTAGGATGCTATGGTTTTCTGAAGTTTCTCGTCTTTGGATACCACCAACTTTCCCTCCCAGTTTTTGCTCCTTTAGTTCTCATATTTTGTCTCTTAATTCCTTAATTTCAATCACTTTCTAGCTTGAGATACCTAAAGAAGTTTGTTTTTCTGAATGAACCAATATTACATCCACTTGGCCCACACCATCCTCTAGAGTCCACAGTGGATAGAAGAAACTTTCCCCCAGACCCAAAGAGTCATTGTTGGCATAGTTACAATTGCCCTGCTACTGAGGCTCCCATCTGCCCTGTCTGAGCCACAGCTTTGTAAGGCTGTGCTGGCACAGTGCTCACAGATTCACAGGGCCTCTGGTGCTGAGAGAGTGACCTCAGATGTTATGACTGCAAGCTTGATAATGTCAGGAAAGAGATCTAAAATTCGACTGAATAGCAATACATCATCTGTAAATCATGAGACTGAAAAAATGCAGAATTCCATAGAATTTAAAGGTCTTTTTAAGACATAAAGAAAGACATGTCTGTGTCTTAGGAACTAAACAAATGAAGAAGCTGATCAAACGATCAACTGGAGTTGGAGTTGAGCACTGCCGTGAGTAGACTGAAGAATTAATGTGTTTATCTTGCATTCAGGAATGTGGGCCAAGTGGCACTTCTTCTAAGTGATGGCATCATTGACATGGCAATCACAAGCAGTACTCAGCGAGTCCCCTCAGGACCGTCTAGAATAGCATCAGTACAATCAGTGTTGTGGTTCACTTAATGGGGATGGTGATTGTTTTCCTTAATGGGTGAGAGTCTTTTAAACCCTGTAAAATTCAGAATTAAATATAAAAATGTTTAAGAAAAATAAAATCATGGCATTAGTATTTTGGGGTTAAGAAGAAACATATACATATTTAGTGTTTAATATACTTGTAATTTTTAAGACAATCTGGCCTATTATAAAGACATTCTTGAAACTCCTACTAAATATATAAAGCACGGACAAACTATCCGGTTCTGAATTTTCTTTCTTCCCATAACCAACTAGACAACTGGAAAAAATATGACAGACAACGATTTCAGATACTGAACAACAGAACAGGCCTGTATCTAGAATAGAAAGAAAATAAATTAGGTGAGACCAGCAATTGTCCTGGCTCCTTTTCCTCGAGGCACCTTCTAAACTGCGGCCTGGGGAAGGGGAATTCCAGTAGAGCATTATTCTGAAAATCAGACAGATGGCAGTGTTCAGGAAAACTGAGATGGCTGAACTTTGTGGGGAAGAATACCGGAGAGCAGGGAGTGATGCAGCCAAAAAGTTCCAGAAACATGCATAGGCATCCTTTTGAGTTTTTTGTTGAATGCTATGCCACATATGCATAAGCTAGGCAAAAAAATAGACTCCTGGGGAGTTGTAAGCTGAACAATTCTCAGAGCTTACATAGGGCTGTGATACTGTACGTTTTGATCATTCAAAATTAAAGAAGCTAGGGCTGTGGTTTGTGCCCGTAATCATAGCTACTCAAGAGGCTGAGGTGGGAAGATCACTTGGGTCTAGGAGTCTCAGGCCAGCCTGGGAAACACAGCGAGACTCTCCTCCCCCTTCCCCCGCCCCTGTCAATAACAAACAAACGAACAAACAAACCAACCAACCCCCAAAGACGTAAAAGAGCCCATTGAACACCTGGAGCTATGGGAAAAGACCCCAGAAGGCTACGTCTTAAAAAGTAGAGCTAAACTAGCCTTAGAATAAAAGATACTCCAGATGTGCCCTACCAACGTTTTAAAAGAAGCCCCCAAAACATCAAGCTCATCCACAAGTAAGTTAATTGCCTGCCAGGACAAAATTCAATATTCTTTCAAAGAAGACAACAAAATTCAAATTCCAAATATACCACATCCAATCAAAAATCATTGACAATGTAAAACTACTGAAAAATGTGACCAATAATCCAGAGAAAAATCAGCCAATAGAAACATAACCTGAAATAGCAAAGATGATGGAATTAGCAAGTGTTAATTTAAAAACTGTTATTATAAATGTGCTTATGAATGTAGAAGAAAACATGGACATGATGAGGAAAGAAAAGATATAAAATAGAGCCAAATGAAATTTTAAAGGTGAAAAATGTAATATCAGAAATAAAAAATATACTGGATAGGAAGAAGAGAATATTAGACCTCATAAGATAAAGTCAGTGAACTTGAATACATAGTGATAGAAACCATCTAGACTGAAGCACAGAGAGAAAAATGGCTGGAAAAAC